GGGCGGGGGGGAGAGGAGCGGGGGCAAGGAAGAGGGAGGGTTTCATGCAATGAACATTCCCTATGATTAATATATTAAAATTATATTAAAATTTATAGACATACTTGAGGGGTTATAATGTATTTAACCGCCAAATGAGGGGTTACAATAAAATCCGGTCAACCACGACAAGCCCGACGGTGCAGTAAGTGTGAACGGGTCTGATCCCAGAAAAACAAAAAAAGAAGGGGTATGTTGCAAAGGAGCGGTAAAGGGGGGTGGCCAAGACACAAACAAAACATATCACCCTCATATTCCTTTTCCCTTTTTATATTTTTCACAGGCAAAGAGAGGGAAATCCCATCACAAATCACCCACATTTATTACACACGCGCAGCGGCTGACAAACAGATCAAGAGTTCAAGTCCTGTTGGGACACGACTAGGATGTTAAACCCTTTTTTTTTTTCCCAGGCAAATAAAGGGGAATTGAATTCCATTACAAATCCCCAACAGCTTTTACACACAGGTAGGGGCTGGCAAACAGATCATGAGTTCAAAACCTGTTGTGCCTTTTTTTTTTTTTTTTTTTTTTTTTTAAGCACAAAGAGACCCATTTGAGATTATATAAGTAAAATCCCTTGTGTAGTTTTTGGTGACACGATACAGCTTCGCAATGCTCGATGATAACACATTTTTTTACACGTATTTATTTATTTTTACACGTATTTATTTCCTCACAGGAAAAGAAAAGGAAAAAAAGAAAAGAAAAGCAAAAAAAAAAGGTGGCAAGCAATCAAGGCAAACCGCAGGATCTCTAGACAGAAATGGGCGGCTTCGTCCAACAAACCATTACACTACCTTCTTCCCCCGAATACAACGTACGGTCATTATAGCTGTATCTAGACTGAAAGACACCCCAAATACAGCTATAATGACCGTACGTTGTATTCGGCGGAAGAAGGTAGGTTGGAGCTTGGCAATTCAAAAAAAAAAAAAAAAAAAAATCAAAAGAGCCCCGGAGAGCGCGCAAGTTGGACCTTGGCAACGGTTGATCAAAAAAATCACGAATAGAATAGACAAGGATTATTATTTTTTTATTTTTTTTCAAATTTTTGATTTTTTTTTAGAAGGGTGAATTTGGAGACTGAATGTGTGCTGAAACTTTAACGTTTAAATTAAACATTTATTATTTTATGGATTTAAAATTAAAAAAAAAAAAAAAACTTACTATGCTGTCAGAGTTCCAACAGTCAAGAGAATGCTAACAGAAGGTCGCTCTTCCAGGCACCGCCTGATCACCACCGTTGCAGCAGCGCTCTCTCCTGCAAGACCCAGGACAGAATCGCCACCAAGAAAATCATTAATTTAACCTCAAAAAATAAGCTCAAAAAATAAAAGAGGCGGAAATAGTTCGTCACTGCTTTCACAACCATAAGAACATCCATCCACGTGTTCATAATATAAACACCCGCCACACAGTCAGGATAACCACCCCATCTCTCTCTCTCTCTCTCTCTCTCTCTCTCTCTCTCTCTCTCTCTCTCTCTCTCTCTCTCTCTCTCTCTCTCTCTCGTATTTTGCGCTCGCGCGCGCCTGTACTTGTATAGGCGGTCACTGCACGATTCCACGACCTCCTCGCTTATGAATCAGAGTGTATGGATATATTTTTGAGTGTATGCATGTGTTTTCCTGAGTGTGAGTGTGTGTACGTCTGTTTGAGTGTGGAAGAGTGTGTGTGTGTGTGTGTGTGTGTGTGTGTGTGTGTGTGTGTGTGTGTGTGTGTGTGTGTGTGTGTGTGTGTGTGTGTGTGTGTGTGTGTGNTGTGTGTGTGTGTGTGTGTGTGTGTGTGTGTGTGTGTGTGTGTGTGTGTGTGTGTGTGTGTGTGTGTGTGTGTGTGTGTTTGTTTGAGCGTGGATGTGTGCGGACGTGTGTGTCCGTGTGTGTGTGTGTGTATGTGTGTGTGTATGTGTGTGTGTGTGTGTGGATATGCTGTTGGGCGTGTGCGTGTCTCTTTGTGTTGTTGTCATATTTGCTATACACTCACAAAAGGTATGCCTGTCCGTGTGTGTGTGTGTGTGTGTGTGTGTGTGTGTGTGTGTGTGTGTGTCTGTGTGTGTGTGTGTGGATATGCTGTTGGGCGTGTGCTTGTCTCTTTGTGTTGTTGTCATATTTGCTATACACTCACAAAAGGTATGCCTGTGCCAGACTGTTTCGTCGAACTTTCACCGACTCGTCAGGAGGTTTTTTTTTTCAACCCCGAAAGACAGTCTGCCAAGGATGCCTCCGACGGATTGATAAGGACTCACCACATCGCCCTGAGAGAGAAAAGTGGTCGACTTTACTCAACACCACCAACCTGGCAATCCTAGCAGACTTGTCAAGGGTCCAAACCCTTGACAAGAACGGCAGTCAGTAAGTCTGAGAAACTCATCTGGCACAGTCATCATAAAACCCACTCTATACTCAGATGAGTTTCTCAGACTTACTGACTGCCGTTCTTGTCAGGGGTAATTTCTTAGACTTACTGACTGCCGTTCTCGTCAGGGGTAATTTCTCAGACTTACTGACTGCCGTTCTTGTCAGGGGTAATTTCTCAGACTTACTGACTGCCGTTCTTGCCAGGGGTAATATCTTACTGACTGCCGTTCTTGTCAGGGATTTGGACCATGCACTCAGCCATCTGTGTGTGCGTGTGTGTGTGTATTTTTTTGAATGCGTGTGTGTGTGTGTGTGTGTGTGTGTGTGTGTGTGTGTGTGTGTGTGTGTGTGTGTGTGTGTGTTGCATCAAATATTCGTACACGGGGGGGGGCAAGAAGGAAAATGGTACTTCGACGGAACATCCGTTAGAATTTTGGATCTATAGAGAGAGAGGAGACGATTAATTAATTACGGGATACGTAATTAGCGTCTTGACTGCACAACCCAAGCCGGACACGAACAGACCGACAAATGGTCCAATTTCAAAAAGAAAGTAATAATCATAAGTAATTAAATAAAATAATAATAATAAATCGTTATTATTTAAAAAAAAGAGTAAGAAAGAAAGAAAGAAAGAAAGAAAGAAAGAAAGAAAGAAAGGAAAGAATGGAAATCAATAAGAAGAGAAAAGGAGCCGGCTATGGTGATTTCGTATCTTTGCGTGAGAGACGGATGCATACCTAGAGAGACGGCATGGAACCAGAGAAGACAACCCCTAGGACGTGCACTGTATCCTTCCCCCACTCGCTGCCGCCATAGCTGATCGTGCTCACGACCTCTCGTCTTCCTGACGAGCAGATTTGCCAAAGCCAACGGCGTCGCTGCTGTAGATAAAAGCTTGTACACAAAGCGCGCCGTTTGCCTGTCCCAAGACACGTGGCCGGTCATGGAGGGAAAAAGAAAAGAAAAAAAGAAGTTGGTACTTCCAAAAAAAATAAAATGTTATCCAAAAAAAAAAAAGTTATCAGAAGGTGCGTTTTCTTCCGGTTTGAACAGCTGTCGCTTTTCTTTCAGCGTCTTTCAGCGGTCGAACCTCGGCGGGAGAGCATCGTTGAAAGCAAGGAGTCTCGCTCCACTAGTCGCCACTATACAAAAAATTGGACCGCTCCGCTACTCTCCACTATACGCAAAATTCGTATGGCTCCATTACACTGGACTATACAAAACCTTGTCTAGTGAAGGACCGCTCCACTACTCTGCACTACAGGCTAACTTGTGTGCTGACGGACTCTACGGTAGGAAGCGCCGGTACCGGGCGAGTAGAGGTAGCTGCTCTACGGCTCCGGGGGCTAGGTCCCACTTGCACGAATTAAGAGATACTGACCGTAGATAGCAAAAATCAACGGCCGAGATCTCCTAATTTGCGTAAGTGGGACCTTGCCCCGGTAGAGGTAGCGCTCCGGTAGCGCTCCAGCACAGGCGTCGCTGCGCGATTGCAGGCAGCGTGCGCTGTTCAGCCGTCACCTTCGCCACCGTGACGACGAGCGGGTTGACCCCGAGGATGACTTTGTAAACAAAATAAATAAATATAAAAAAAAAAGGATGACCTGTGCGCACCCGCACCATGGGTGGAGGGTCTCGCATCTTGATGGAGGAATCGAGAGAGTATCTCAGTAGGTCTGTATAGTCCAGGGTGGGGGTTCAAATCTTTGTTGAGCATATTCCAGGGCTATAGTAGGTATGCAGGCGGGATTAAGGCTCTGCTTTGGGGGACCAAGGTCCTAGGTGGGGTGATGGGGTCTTGTTTGGGGGGATGGGCTGGTTGGGATGAGCTCTGCTGGAGGATATCGGGGGGGTAACCTACAGTAGGGGTTGTCTTAGGGGTCCCTGTAGGAGGGGTGTTAGTAGACAGGCTCTAGTGGAGGATCGGTGGGGAACCTGCAGTGGGGCCTGTCTGAGGGGGATCATCTGAGATAGGATTGTATATGTCCCATGCTAATACAAGATTCTAATACTAATAACGACCCTAGTTCATAACAAAAGCAATGGAACGGTGTCGAGCACATCGGCTCCCGCCTTTTTCGCAAAAGGCGAGAGCCCTCCCGGCCATGTCACGCAGGAATTAAACAAAACAAAATGAGAGACAACTTGGAGGCAGCGCATAAATAATCTCGCAAACTGTCCAGTTGATGTAGCTCAGTGGTTAGAGCACCAGTTGGAATGCGCATTGTGGTATGAAGTTGTGGGTTCAAAACTCCGCAGCCTTGCGCATGGACACCGACAGGGCGTTAGAATGACGCCCGGCTGGACACACTCCCCTGGGCTGACACAGGTACGCTATTACGGACATTGCTTGCGCACCACCGAGGGGCAAGTCCATGGTTGTTGTATGTTGGGTCTGGTTTGGAGGATGTTTGCCTAATGCTTTTGGTTCTAGTGGTTCTTTGCGGGCTTGCATACTTGAGGATGATTGTTCATTTGCCTTCCAGTTCGATATTGCGTACAAATCGTTCATTTTTCACAGTAGCTCAGTAGGTTCGATAGAAAATTGCATGGGTGAGGTCGTGTGTTCAAACTCGCTTACCTAGTGGGAGGCAGGACCAAGAGACCTACACACCGCCCATAGACTCAAGAACGGTTGATGCGAGTGAGACTTCGTACAGACTGTGGTCGGTGTTGGTAGGTTTCTCGAGGCAAGATTAGAGTAAGGGGACCCATTGCTAGCTGGAGATCTGGGGGGGGTCAGCCACTGGGCACGGGAGGGGTTAGGATGAGGGTTCCCCTTAGGACAGCTCGCCCGTGAGACTTAGTACAATTCACCGTCGATGTGTCTGTCTGAACTAGGACCCTACAGACCGCCCATGGAACGAGGAACAGTTGATGAGAGTGAGACTTAATACAATCTATGGTCGGTGTTGGTATGCTCTTGTGCCAGTGGGGCTCTCCACAGGATTGGTTGGGTTGGCTGCCTCCTATGTTCGGTTCACTATCAACAAAACATGTAGTAATGACAACATTGTGCACAACGAACAACCTAACAACTAACAACAGTAACAATAAATGTGTACACAATGATAGGAACGCAAAATAGGTCCACCTATGGAACTTGTAGTGAAACGTTTGTACCTAGCACCTGAAGCACCTGAGCGACAAGGCTCGCAAAAATATGTTCCGATCAGAGTTGAGTGGGGTGTGTGTGGGACTCAGCTTAGCGCTGGTACCTACAACCACGGTTCAGTCAAGTCACCCCCAAGGCTGGAGGGTGACGATCCTGAGTGGTAGACACTGAGGTAGGACAGTGGGAGTAAGAGTGTGTCGGGAGAAATTACGAAAGAGGTAGATTGGGAGGGAGTCTTATAGGATTAGGGGGCCTCTACCACATGGGCGAGTGTCGAAGGTGACTCTCATATGTCTGTAATCCAAAAAAAAAAAAAAAAAAAAAAAAAAAAAAAAAAACGAAAAAAAAAAGAAGTGATATCACGAACCACCGAGACGGACGCGGTTACGCTGTCACCTTGCCGCTCTAGCCGGGTGGGCTAGTTGTACTTTCTACGGTCCCCTACGACATGATAGGTTATCGTAAGGCACAACTTACATTCCCTAAGGGGTTGTCACCACCTTTAGGGTCGTATCCCTACCGAGCTATTGAACCACGTGCGAAAGTTTTTACGTGCAATTGCAGAGGTAGGGCAGCCGAGGGCGTTTGCTCGTTCGCTGCGCTATAGGTACACTTGCTTAAAACGCCGACTGGACCCGTACGTCATTCGTTTCTTAGGACGCTAATCTCCTAAATATGAAGCGTACGCCCGTCGACTAAGATGGTCTCAACCAAGCATGAAACCCATAAGTCAATCCTAGTCTCTTAGACATATAACTCGAAAATAAAAGTTACAATTCAATCATCTTACAAAGGAAATCCAACGTTACGATGTTCGAACATAATTTCATCAAAATGCATCCACCGTGGTCAGTAGAAAGTACATGTGGTTCAACGTGAGTTGACCCGAGCATGGCAAGGTCAATAATCACAGGATCTAAATAAAACAGACCACCTCGGGTCAAACTTTATAAATAAAATATTTTACCGAGCCTCCAAACGAAAAGTCGACCTCGATAATAACCGTGATGCAACCGACAGGGTAGTCAGACCACTTCAGTTTTGAATTGATGAGACAGTCTGTCGAAGTTGTCCTTTCCACCCAACTGCCGACCTAAAGATAAACTCACATTCTTGCTTCCACACACCAATAATTTTATTGGATGACAGACTACTTTGCGAATGATTCTTCGTCAGGTGCATTACTTGAAGAGTTGCATATCGTGCAAGAACCTTATATGGTCATTCGCCACAGTTACCCATATTGCAAAAAAAGTGTCGTCACCTGGTTTAGTCACCCTAGTCCGCACTTCTTGTGGTGCGAACCCCATCCACGCAAGTGACACCTACGCGTATCCACTTTATTATAGTAGCCCTACGGACCGGGCTTCTTTTGGCGTTGGTCCGACTAAGGTCGTGAAACCTAAATGCGACCACCGAGGCAAACAATGTCAACCCTTCTCGTTTATGACTTAAAGAAAAGTCGGTTTTGCCTTTTGCCATTACGCACCTAACCCTCTAAAAAGTGGTATGTGGATACTCAGTCCCCTCGCCCGAGCATAGGACTCAAATCTCAAAGGTTGGGTTGTCACCACCGAGTCGACAAAGTACCACCCCCGACAAATCGGGTCCACTCGAAGTCGATAACAGATCCGGCTGTTGAAGCATACGAGGCCCTGCCTTGAATGTTTTATAAAAAGAGGGGGGGGCGATCAAACCCAAAGTAGAATCGTTCGTCTCTTCGTCACGCACAATCAAGGAACTTAGACCGAGAAACAAAAGGGAAATTGACAGGGTCTCGGAAAGAAAATGGGTATTTGGGATATAACGGTTTGCCTTGGGAGTAAGGACTACGTTCGCTGAAACATCTCTTTTTTTTTTTCCACTTTTTTTCCGACCCCTTGTAATTCCCTCTTAATTCAAAATTTCACACGTCAGATGAAGTTCGGGGAGAGGAAATAAAAATTTATCCAAACCATTTTTTTTTTCCAAGCATGCATCCCTTCTTTCACATACCTGCACACACACCATAACCATCACAATTCCAAAGAATAAAAAATAAAAATAAACAACCCTCACATGCAGTCAGGTTTTCCGTTCATATCACATAACCACGGTCACACACCACCCTCACTACCTTTTCTCTTTCCTTTCAAACATCTAAGCAAAAAATAAAGGGTCATGCAAAGTGTGGAAGCAAATGGGGTGAAGGGAAAGAAGAAACCTGAGTCGCTCACTGATCTTGAGTAAGTGAAGTTGAAATGACATCACTTCCCTCATGATAATTACCAACAATATCGCATTCCTCCTCCGGATATAACTGTCAAGTTCCCCAGCTATGGTCGCCGAGCTCACCGGCTATAGGCATCGACTACACCTCTAACTTGCGTTGCGACTCTCACTGTAACAGCAAGCTTTCATCACTTTGCCACACAACAATCCATAACTCCCTCTTTGCAGTTACGGTTGCCAACGCCACAAGTACCTGGTCACCAAGCTTATAACTATGACAACGGACGTCTGCCTATGGTCATCGCTCACCTCCTTCCACCACCACTTTCATCCCCACTCATTTTTTTCACCTCTCACTTCACCGATGTGACGCAATTGCACGTCCTACGCTATGGCTTCCAAGTCAGGGCTATGGTTGCTACTAGCTCCTCCAACCTTCGCACAACCTCCCCTTGTTGTTCTCTAGCTTGGTCGGCGATGGCTGGCCACGAAAACCTTCCTTCCACCTTCTCCCTCAATTAGAATACATTTGTATTTATTTTTTTCTCCCCCAAATAGTACACGTATGTGTACTTCTCCCGTATTCTCTCTCTCTCTCCAACTTGCTTGCCGATCACCTATGCATCCACCATATTCATTTTCACCAATATCTCAACACGCCCTGCTGATTTCCCAAAATTTCGGCAGCACTTCCCCCTTTCACCATGCTTTTCACCATGTAGTTAGGCAACACCTCCCCTTTTCACCATGCAAGCCACTATGTAGTTGGGCAACACCTCCCCCTCACTATACTAGGCAATCCATTATAACCGCCTGCAACATCTCCCCCTCATAACTT